GGTCCACTGGTGGAACCTCTTCTAACCGGTTCGGTAGATTTGACGAACCGGTTCTACCGAATAGGTGCGAACTGGTAGGAACCCACCTCGGTCTATAACCCTCCTAAAGGCAATGCATGCCCTTTTTAAAACAAGAAATGGGCCCATTTTTTGCTCGTTTTTGCCACCACCACCCGGAGCACTCTACAAGCCTCCTAAAGGCTATTTGTGCCCTTTTTTAAAAAAAGAAACAGGCCCATTTCTTTTCACACACACTTATGTGCATCACCTAAATGTAAACCAGTGCCAGTATCAACATAAGTAAAGTTTTAAAAACAGTATTAATGATCCACAAAGAGGAGATCCACAAAGAGGTAAGAATCAATTAAAAAAAAAATACTATCAGGGCTTTGACTTCAGACCATGAGACAAATTAGAAATTCAATTAGAATTGAAGTAATAAAAGTTGCAAAGTTAACAAACCTTGTCACATTGTTCATAGGGTAAACTGATCATATAAATCCATGTTTTACCCTTGTTTAGAAATGCTGTTGTGCTGTCATCTGATATATTTTGTGGTTTCTTTCAGAGCTTTATGGTTTTGATGTTCTCATTGATTCTACTCTCAAGCCTTGGCTGCTGGAGGTGAATCTGTCCCCTTCCCTGGCCTGGTAAGAGAACTGTTGCAGAAGATAGGATGGAATGATAGTTCCCTAAGTAATTTTCTTCTGAATTTCTTTCCTTTGGGGGCAGGAAATATTCTTGATGTTTTTTAAGTGGATCTTTGTTTGGATAAAGGGAAGGGTTTGCAATCTGACTATACCTCTGATTATTATTTTTTTATTTCTCAAGTTGAGGGATATAATTTATGGATATAATTTAGCCTATAACACCCATCCCCTTGCTTTGTGTTTCAGACATAGAGTGTGATGTATGCAAGGAGGAATGTTTTTAAATTTTGATTTTGGTCTCTGAATACCAGGTCACAAGGAGATACTACCATACCTATTAGAGATGTACAAACTTTTCTGAATTTAAAATGCCTGGGATTGAGGTTGAAATGGTTGTTCTGACCTTATCAGAAGCATTCTGTCACGCCCCACTCCACTCCATAAGTTTGAAACAGGGCTGTTCTTTCTTCTTCTTCTCTGAATGCTCCGAGCATGTCTAGGATAATATGTTTTGATGTGAAACAGCTGCTTCAAATTCAAAGTGTTGGGTATACTTCTATTACCTGCCATATCTCCTTTTGGCTAAAATGGTAAGAGGTAGGATTGAGCCGAAATAGTTGGGTAGGTAGAGGTCAATGTTTAAGGATAGCTACAGTGTTCATATTACTTTGGCTTTTCTCAATAACCCATCTGTTGAATATGAGCAGGGGGGGGGGGGAAGGCTTGGATAAGATTATTTTCCTACCATCTCTGGTTGAATAAACAAAACACTGAGTGTTGTTTCATTCAAATGACGAAGCAAAAAAAAAAGGGATTTTTTTAAAGAAGGAAAGTGATTAGATTCTTAGATTTCCCTTTATCTAATGTTCCAGTATAGGGGTGCCCAATCCTTGAGCCACAGCCCACCTCCAGGCCTTGAGCCGTGCATGTGTGCATGCCCACCGCTTGCACAGAACTATCCCCTCTCCTCTCCCCTTGCTGGTCCACAAAGTCAAAAAAAATTGGGGAATTCTGTTCTACTAGACTGAAAAACCAGCATTTCCAAACTGGAAATACTTCTTACAATATCTGTGATAGAACAACAGTGCTCTTTGAACAATTTTCTGTGAGTTCCTCCAAGATCCAGGGTATAGTTTTTAATGTTTTGGATCTTTCTGGTTTCATTCACTTATTCTTGAATATTGAGACAACCAAAAAGAGATTCATCACTAAAAAAACATAGGTGAAAAGTGAATTTTTAACACTCACTACAACCAAGACCAAATAAAATCATAGGTCCGACTGAGATTTATACCTTGTAAATCTCCATTCAGAAATAAATTAAACATTAATGATCTCAGATAAAATATTTTATTGAATGCTGCCTTTTGCTTCTTAGAAAAAAAAGAAACTGTACACTTTTCTAAGTTAACAAAATAGAAAAAGAAATAACATTTAGAACAGAATACTATTTGCACAGTGATTTCTTTAACTTCTATCCAGAATGTCAAGGCAGAAGGATTTTCATAAAGTTGTGTGTCTTATTATTGTTATTGTTATGTCATATCTTCTTAAATAGATGCAAATTCTCTGATTTGGCAGTTCCAAGAATGGGACTTTCCATTATTGGAATGATAGACCCTGTACATATTGATTAAACTTTCCTCAAAGATACAAATTAAAATGATTAATCAGTTGGTCTTATTTGTTCTCTTGTTCCATACTGTTAGTGATGCTCCTTTGGATCTGAAAATTAAAGCTAGCATGCTTTCAGATATGTTCACACTTGTAGGTGAGTATTATGTCAATTCTTGTTCAATATTATATTGCTTTGAGTGACAGTGTGTTTAAAAGTCAATATATTGTATTGTTAAGAGCTGATTTGAAATAATTAATGTTTTATATTATGTTCCATATGTGTCAGGTTTGCTCTATTTACATATATTTAACTATCGTGTTATGCCAATTAAGGTACTTAAGAGTTTCATTTTAGCCCCAATAGGCTGGAGTTTGTTTGGGGCTAAACTGATCTTTCCCAACATCAGTTTCCATACCAACATTAATGTATAATAGGAACAAAGCAATCACTTTATAGTTTTGCTTCCAGACTCTAAGACAAAGTACTGGAGAGGGTATGTTAAAATCTGTTGTGTGAATTTGGTAAATGCTTTGTAGTAGTATTGGGAATCATTTTGAAAAGTAAAGTAAAATAATTAGTGACAGGCACACATGGTATTTGTGCAATATGACAGCACTAAGTTCTGTAACATGAAAAAAACATTGAATAAATGGTATGAGATACCTGTGTGTCTCTCTATATATTTAAGATTGACATTTGCATAACGTTTTGGAAATGTGGCAGCTGGGATAATTCTACTGTCTTCTTCCTCTTAGCATTTCCCTGTTGAGTCTGCTTTTTTCTGGATTAACCAAGTTTTGAACCATTACAGTAATATCTAACGTTACAAAACATAATCTGCCATGATTGCAGTTAAAATATCTATAAAATTGGAACTAAATATCAACACTTATATTTTAGAGCTGTCGCAGCATCCAACTTTTAGAAATATCTGCCCCTCAAATCTACATACATATACATTCTTATGTCAATCACATTTTGTTTCTCATGTCAGTCGCATCTAGTTTCTCCCTTTTGAATTTCACAGCTCAACGTTGTTTTTTTTACAAATCCATGTTTAATTTTGGAGAATACTGTATTTTTTGGAGTATAAGACGCACCTTTTTTCCCTCTAAAAAGAGGCTGAAAATCTAGGTGCATCTTACACACCGAATACAGCATTTTTATGCCTCCTGAAGCCCCACTCCCTTCACCAAAATGGTCGTGCAGCCCCCAGCAGCACTCTATAAGTCTCCATAAGGCTATGCACGCAATTTCTTTGACAAAAAAGGGCCGGGTTTTTTGTTCTTTTTTTGGGGGGCCAGGAGCACTCTGCAAACCCCCCCCCAAGCTATTCATGCATTAAAAAAAACAGGCCCGTTTTCACAAAAAATGGGACATTTTGGTGAAGTTTGCAAAGTGCAAAAACGTTTTTTCCCTTTCAGAAAGCTGTTTAGTTAGAGGGATTGATGAGAATTACATTGGCCAAGTGCTGTGCC